TGACAACCCTTTCGGTGAAGAAGTTTTTCCTAATATCTAGCCTAAACCTGCCCTGGCGCAACTTCAGACCATTCCCCCTCGTCCTATCGCCTGTTGCCAGGGAGAAGAGGCCGACCCCCCCCTCGCTACAGCCTCCTCTCAGACAGTTGTAGAGGGCGGTAAGGTCTCCCCTCAGCCTCCTCTTCTCCAGACTAAACTATATGTGTGTCTTTAACCACATCTCTATATAATTATATATTCAAATTACATATAAGTTTAATTTTATATATATATATATATATATATATACACACAAATATACTCATTCACATACATTTAGGGCTCTTTAGAGAACGCCCTGTGCTCATGGACAGTGCTGCCCCGAGTCCCATTGCAGGCAAACACCCCATGCCACGGGGGCAGGTACCCACCGCAGTCTGGTTCACCAGGGATGTGCTGTGCCTTTAGCACCCAGTTTCACCCTAAAACATTGCAGCGCTTTCAGAACAACAATCTCTGACTTCTCCGTCTCTGACGGCTCCATCTCTGGCCTTCCCATCGCCAGCTTCTCCATCTCCAACCTCTCCATCAGCCTCCTGAGCACAAGCACACAGCTAATAAATCTGAGCCTTTAATTGCCTTCCCACACAGCATGGCCTTATCTGAGCCATCGTCCCTCTCGTTGTGCCTCGTCACACCTCTCTGTTTCCAGGTTTGTGCTGCTGGTGTCAGCAAAAGGATAAACATGATGTTTTTAGGTACAAATCCCCCCCCAAAACATGTTCCTGGTTGCCTGGTCCCACATGATGTATCTGACATGGTGAGGCAGCATTGCTGGGGGGGGCGGATTTACAAACGCTCTGCTTTTATCTCATGCAAAGTCCAACTTTTTTCATTATTTATTTAGCTAAAACTATGCAAAAATTACAGGGGACAACAACCCCCCCATAAATCCCATTGCTAAAGACATTGCTGGGTGGGGGTGCTGGGACCACTGGGGCTAGAGAAGCCCCAATCACCATTTACAGCTGGTTGTTACTTGGGTTGCAAGACGAACTGCTGTCTCTAGTACCAAGGGACATTTATTTATTTCCCACCCCCTTCTGTAAGTTCGGGAAGTTTTCCGCAGCCTTCTGGGAGAGAGGGGCCGGCGCGGGCGCAGCGGTATCAGCAGCCGCAGGTCTATCGGGCTGAGCAGAAGCTTTTCCAGGAACTATCTAGTGCTGCAACACATGACCCTGCCCGGCCGAAGGGCGATACGTGACAGGCATTCACCGGGCTCCCGGCGAGTCAGTTGACTTTGTTATTCAAACTATTTTAGTGATGGTTTTTAATCCCAGGCTTAAGTTTTTCTTTTTTTTTTTTCTTTTTTTTTCCTTTCTTTTTTTTCTCTCTGAACAAGGGAATCTCTACGCTGGCAGGATTCAGAGGGGCACAAAGGAGGGAAAAACAAGTTTCAGCCAGAAAGGGGGGGGGTGGGAGTGGGGGGTGGAAAGGGATGCTGTTAGCATTCCCTGTATGTGAGGGGGTAAAAACCATTTTGCTGTGAACTTTATTTTAAAGGGCAAGTGCCAACAGCAGCCCAGTTACTATGCAAATAAATCCTGTGCTTGGCCTTTCCCTCTCAGCCGTAAAGTTTTGGCACTGGGGCTCGTTAGCCACAGTGCCCCTGCCCCCCTGCCTGTACCATGAGGGGGGTTGGGTGGCACTGGCAGGACAGCGCCT